TGTCTATGGGGCACCATCAGCACCATGGCAGAGGCTGCACACACCATGCTCAGCCAAAATGTGAGTGTGGGGCATCTATGGGGCGTCTATGGGGCTGGGGAGTGTCTATGGGGTGTCTATGGGGTGTCTATGGGGCACCATCAGCACCATGGCAGAGGCTGCACACACCATGCTCAGCCAGGACGTGAGTATGGGGCATCTATGGGGCATCTATGGGGCTGGGGAGTGTCTATGGGGTGTCTATGGGGTGTCTATGGGGCACCATCAGCACCATGGCCGAGGCTGCCCACACCATGCTCAGCCAGGACGTGAGTCTGGGGGCATCTATGGGGCATCTATGGGGCATCTATGGGGCTGGGGAGTGTCTATGGGGTGTCTATGGGGTGTCTATGGGGCACCATCAGCACCATGGCAGAGGCTGCCCACACCATGCTGAGCCAGGACGTGAGTGTGGGGGCATCTATGGGGCTGGGGAGTGTCTATGGGGTGTCTATGGGGTGTCTATGGGGCACCATCAGCACCATGGCAGAGGCTGCACACACCATGCTGAGCCAGGACGTGAGTCTGGGGGGAGATGTGGGGCATCTATGGGGCATCTATGGGGCTGGGGAGTGTCTATGGGGTGTCTATGGGGTGTCTATGGGGCACCATCAGCACCATGGCAGAGGCTGCCCACACCATGCTCAGCCAGGATGTGAGTGTGAGGCATCTATGGGGCATCTATGGGGCTGGGGGGTGTCTATGGGGTGTCTATGGGGTGTCTATGGGGCGCCATCAGCACCATGGCAGAGGCTGCCCACACCATGCTCAGCCAAAATGTGAGTGTGGGGGGAGATGTGGGGCTGGGGGGTATCTATGGGGCACCATCAGCACCATGGCAGAGGCTGCCCACACCATGCTGAGCCAGGACGTGAGTCTGGGGCATCTATGGGGGGAGATGTGGGGCTGGGGAGTGTCTATGGGGTGTCTATGGGGCACCATCAGCACCATGGCCGAGGCTGCCCACACCATGCTGAGCCAAAATGTGAGTCTGGGGGCATCTATGGGGCATCTATGGGGCTGGGGAGTGTCTATGGGGTGTCTATGGGGTGTCTGTGGGGTGTCTATGGGGTGTCTGTGGGGCTGGGGGGTGTCTATGGGGCACCATCAGCACCATGGCAGAGGCTGCACACACCATGCTCAGCCAAAATGTGAGTGTGGGGGCATCTATGGGGTGTCTATGGGGCTGGGGAGTGTCTATGGGGTGTCTATGGGGCACCATCAGCACCATGGCCGAGGCTGCACACACCATGCTCAGCCAGGATGTAAGTGTGGGGGGCATCTATGGGGCTGGGGAGTGTCTATGGGGCACCATCAGCACCATGGCAGAGGCTGCACACACCATGCTCAGCCAAAATGTGAGTCTGGGGGGAGATGTGGGGCTGGGGGGTATCTATGGGGCACCATCAGCACCATGGCCGAGGCTGCACACACCATGCTCAGCCAGGACGTGAGTCTGGGGGGAGATGTGGGGCATCTATGGGGCTGGGGGGTGTCTATGGGGTGTCTATGGGGTGTCTATGGGGCACCATCAGCACCATGGCAGAGGCTGCCCACACCATGCTCAGCCAAAATGTGAGTCTGGGGGGAGATGTGGGGCTGGGGGGTGTCTGTGGGGTATCTGTGGGGCTGTGGGGTGTCTGTGGGGCTGTGGGGTGTCTGTGGGGTGTCTATGGGGCTGTGGGGTGTCTGTGGGGTATCTATGGGGTATCTATGGGGCTGTGGGGTGTCTATGGGGCAGCCCCACATCCCTGTGCCCCCCAGGTGCGGGTGTGGGTGTTCCCCGAGGGCACCAGGAACCACAGCGGGTCGATGCTGTGGGGTGTCTGTGGGGTATCTATGGGGTATCTATGGGGCTGTGGGGTGTCTATGGGGCAGCCCCACATCCCTGTGCCCCCCAGGTGCGGGTGTGGGTGTTCCCCGAGGGCACCAGGAACCACAGCGGGTCGATGCTGTGGGGTGTCTGTGGGGTGTCTGTGGGGCTGTGGGGTGTCTGTGGGGCTGTGGGGTGTCTGTGGGGTATCTATGGGGCTGTGGGGTATCTATGGGGCAGCCCCACATCCGTGTGCCCCCCAGGTGCGGGTGTGGGTGTTCCCCGAGGGCACCAGGAACCACAGCGGGTCTGTGCTGTGGGGTGTCTGTGGGGTATCTGTGGGGCTGTGGGGTGTCTGTGGGGCTGTGGGGTGTCTGTGGGGTATCTATGGGGCTGTGG